TTGAAGTGTGCACTGATGTTCATATTATTTAGAGTATTTAGGATATTGTATATATAATGTTGTATATATAATGCTACTAGATTAGTGATTTTTTTTATGAATTTTTAATGATGCTCTATGATGAACAATTAGCTGTGAAATGTCATTGGAATGTTTTAGATATTTGTTAAGATTAGGACCCATAGAAACCTTTTTACACTAGGTGTATGCTTTCAATACTTAGAGAAATTATAAATTTTTGAACTTTAAATCTTATATCTTTATTAGATGCTGTAGTAGTTTTTGAAAGAAAAGAAAAAGAAAAAAAATGTATTTAGTGAATAAGTTGGAAAAGCTCGTAAGAGCTCCAACACTTTAGGAAATAAGTTGGAATAATTTAACATAGTTTTAGGAAATCGAACAAGTTGGAATATCCAACATTAGATTTAGGAAGATTTCTACATCATTGAAGATCATTAACTGAGTAGGAACAATATTTTTATAATTTAGCTAAGTATTGACTATGTACACCTACCTTGCACATTACTGCACTCTATGGATTCTGAATTTGATAAGTCGACATTACATTCCCTAATTAGATATCATTTGATGCTATCACTTCTGTGGAAGCAATGAAAAGGTTGAGAGCTTAAAAAAGGAAAATCAAAAATCTGATTTGGTTTGGTTTGGTAGATTTATTCTGCAACATTATTGTTTAGAAGTAGTTTAATTTCATGCATGTTTTTGCTTGAGGACAAGAAAACACTTAAGTTTGGGGGTATGATAACTCTCGAAAAGAGTTATACTTTTATTATATTTTTACCTAGGTTACGCTTTAACTTTAGCATCATTAGGGTTATATTAGGATCATTTTTATATATTTTTCATCATTTGCATCATGGGAATGAGTTGATGGAATTTGGGTTTATTTTAATGTTTTATGTTGTAAATTTATACGTTGATGTTATAGCATTACTTGAAGTTTCAGGGGAGGCTGATCAAATGTTGTAGTAGTTGGTGACTCAGTAGATAGTTATGGAATTTTTTGGATTTGGACAGTTGTCCAACACAATTGTAAAATGGATTGAAAATATAGGAAAAATCATGTTTGTCCTATTGGATGATGCTTTGACTTGCTGGGCTTATAAATAGGGTCTCCCTTCACACTTTCGAGACTTCTTCTTCATATTTTCTTCATTTACATTTATTTTCTTCTTTTCTCCACTGGCCATGGGGGTTTGAATCCGCTAGGGAGTGCTGCAGCAACCTAGGAGCTTGTCGACTAGCATCGATGATCAATAAGAATTCTTTTTCTACTCTCGTTCTTATTTAGAGATAGGGAAGTAGCACATAAATTTGAATGTAACGTAATTTCTAAGGATGATATTTTGGGTTATAAACTTAGCCGGTTGTTGAATGCTTTTAATTTTGTTTATGTTATAACTTTATGTTATGTGTTTCTACACTTTTAAAGATAGTTGTAGAGATATAATTATCTTCATGGATGTTTATTGATGATATTTAGAGTTGAAAATTCATTAATAGATATATTACTTTTGTTAAGTTCGGTGTGCTAAAAAGAAAGTTTGCATGTGAGATCTATGCCGCCCAATATTGTTACCCGTTATCTAGCGTTGTTAATAGTTTAATTGATAGAGTCAATGAGAGATGATTAATGTCTTTTAGATAATATTAATTATTGTTGGATGCATAAACATTTTGTTCATGATATACTAATAATAAAAGCTGTCAAATATCTTCCTAATCCATTCGATCCTTGACCTATTGCTCTCAATAATGTTGTAGCACTGCATGTCATTTCTATCATGTTCTTAATATCTTTGCTATATCTCTGTTATGACCCAATCACAATATTTACCTTTTAATATTCAAAGTTAGTACTTCTAAGTTGTAATTCATTGCTCCATGTATGTTCAACATCTGTAGCATTAGATTGCTACCATTTTATTACTTAGATTGCTACCAACTTCTAAGTTGGTCGAGTGTATGTTCAACTACATAAAATCCCGGATCACACCCTAATACTCGAGGGCCTATAAATAGGCTAAGGATATACGTTTTCGATGCAGAAAATTTTGGATCTCACTCCGATACCCTCAAGTACTATAGGTAGGATAGGGTGTCGACTTGAGATGTAGAAAATTCTCGACTACACTAGTCCTGCTTCTAGCATGGTTATTAGTGTGGCACTGAGCTTGTAAGCTCGGCATTCAAAATTTGTTTCTATGCGTAGGTTAGTAGAGAGATCGAGGAGGAGCCTATCGCTCAGTCACATTCTAAATCACCCGCTATTCATAGCATGTCTTGAGTCTTTTGGAGGGCATGTACCTTCATAGACCTTTATAATATTTCAAGTCATAACTCTATTTAAAACTTGTTTATTTTGGAGATTTATCATTTGGAGATTCCATATTATGTATTTTGAAATATTATGTCTTATTTTACTACTTATGTATGGTTTCCGTATGATATTTGCAAATATTTTAAGGAAAGTTTTGGTCAGATACTTTTGTGGTCCGTGTGATACTTTAATCTTTCGATCTTCGAGTCGGATCGGATTAGGGTGTTACAATACCCTAAATTAACGTTAGGTGTTTAAAGAATTTTTCGTTAAAAGTGTCTAACATTCTTTCTGTTACACTTTTAGGTATTTATGTCGTAACGACCGTTAAAAAACTGTTAAGTAATATGTGTCACGATTATATATATATATTTTTTAATTATTTTTAAAAAATAAATATATTATTTAAAAATAACATTATATATATAAAAAAATTAAATTATCTCAATATTTAAAGGAATGATTGTTAATTTGTTATTCCTAGAGGTCAAAGTTCGAGCACCAGTAATTCCAGCAGGAGTGATTGGACGTTCATTGTCAAATGGTTGAAAACACTTAAAACATAATACTATTTTGTAATCACCTTGGCTTAATCAAAATTGGTTCTAATAATCAAGAAATTTTACCATGAGATAAACCTTCCATCAAATCTTATAATCTTATGAAATTTTATTGATGGGGACGAGTAGGAGGGAAATTGCAGGGAATGGGAGGAAGGGGTATAACTTTTTTTAAAATGTTTTTCAATGACATTTTATTTCAAAAAATAATATTTTTTTAAGAATATAAACCTAACACATGTGATTTAATGATTTTTTAACGGTCATAACGAAGTAGACACCTAAAAATGTAATGAAGAAAACATTAAACACCTACTTTTAACAAAAAAAAAAAATTAGGCAGCTAAAATATTGTTTCAACACTTATTTCTACATTAACCCTAAAATTTAATAGAAGCTTCTAACGAGATCTGTCACTAAAAGAGTTCGAGTAGTTACTTTTGCTGAGTGTATATGTGTTGTCAATATCTAAGAAAGATTTTTGGAGGAAAAAAAACCCTTGTTTTCATTGATGATGTATTATTGTTGTAACATTTTAAGGTGTATTTTTTTAAGGAAAAACGAGTCTCATTAAAATCCTTTTTTACCAACATAAAGTTGGGGTCTTATAAGGAGAAAAAAGTGTCCAAATTGCATTAATCACGGAGGTTACATATCGTTTTTTTACATCTTGGACAAAAAATTCAGGAATGGTCTAGTCAAAGAAAAAACAGAATTGGAATGGAGGGCTTTCTTAGCAAGAGTATGCGCCACTCTATTCGCTTATCTACTTACATGAACCATTGCATTGTTGTTTTCATTAATGAGGTATTATTGTTGTGATCTTGCATTCTTAGCATTGGATTCATCAATGTATTCGAGAGAATTAAAAGGGAAAGAGGTGTTTTGAGCTCCCGACAAGGTGATTGATGAGTGTTCGGAGTTTCTTCACCTTTCTACAACAAAAATGTGTTTATTAGGAGCACATAACACTCAACGCCCGTTCCAAATGATTTGCCCTAACTATCAGATGTCACATTAGCCACCGAAGTGACTCGATGCAGATTTACTATTAAAAATTTCATTCGATGAATGAATGTTACCAAATTATCTCACATAACATATAACAGAAGGCCACACCAACATTCTTAACTGAGAGCAAATTTGATCATGCAAAAACATTCACTAAATCAAGTTACAAGGTTTAAGAACATTTTCATCATTTTATATACATCATACGAAAACATGCTAAAAATCAAAACTCAAACCATCACACTTTAATTAGTCATGCTTACAAGTATCATGCAAAATCTCAGCTCAAGCGGACATCATTCCAGGCTTTACTTGCACACACAAAATATTTTACAGACTAAAATTTTAGGATTAACATGAATTTCCAAAATTTCCACTTTAACATGAAATTAGTGTCCTAACAAACTACTGTTGAAAACTCAGCTCAATTCATATTAGAATTCATCCTTAATTTTAAATTCAAATTCTAGGCCCTGTTTTGTAAAACGTTGTTATTAAAGAGGCCAGAGGATAAAATAACTTTTAAGGACCTAAAAAGTAATTTAAAAAGTTTCGATGAATCCAAAATCAGAGGGATCTATCCTTTGTGCAAAGGAACGATCTTTTTCAACACAATAGTCATTGGATCAGTCCCATGCACCGAGGGATCAATCCTTTCTATAGCTTCATGCAAGTTTGGGTTAGAACATGCATAATTAGCCCACCAATTCGACTCCGAGTTGTTTCTAATGTCCAGATTCATACAAATTCACAATCAAAGTATGCTTCTTAACAATCAATTAACAATCAATCATGCTTCCAAATCAAGAATTACATGTTTGTCATTCTGGACACTTTTAGACATACCATTGTTCACCTAGGCAAATTTGGTTAGAAGAACTATTCTGAACTTACAATAAAACGCTTTGCAATGGATCAACTGGAGGAGGACAATTAAACAGTTGATTAGCAGCACAAACATAATGCAAATAATCTGAATAAATCAAAAACTTGGGGGGGGGGGTTGTGAAGGGTTTCTTCATCAATAATTTATTTTAGCAGCTATTATACAAACATCATACAAAGTCGAATGAGCAGTCCGCATTATTTGCAGAAATTCGTTGCTTTCAATGTCCGGTGCCACATCAACGGTGGGAAACCAATTCCCAAGTGCGACCGGAAGAAATATATACATATGAACTGAACCAAAATTTGACATTAAAGAATTGTGCTTATAGAACTAACAACAAAAACCGAACATAGACAAAGGCATCTTACATCATCTATGGCAGCGAGTTAGTCCAAACGCCACCAGATTAAGAGGTTTTGATCCGGCATATGTAACTGAAACTAGCACCATCTGATCCAAGAGGCATGAAATCAAGCGATTTCTAGCTCATGCTGTATGGTGACGTGTGTGTTACCCTGTATAAAGTGTGAGAAGCTCAAATTTAGAATGTACCACAATCTTCATGGAGTTAGGGACCATGTAGTATTTCTATAGACATTCGAATGAGTGTCACACAATTGAAAAACAAAATATTGAAAATACCTTTCTTTGCGCTTCTCTAGAAATCGAGCCATTGATGCTTTACGAGCTTAAGGCACGGCATCTACAAGAACACAATAGTGTTTCTCTCAAGACTCCGAAACTTGAGGTGTTTTAGTGTCTCTCTAGAAGTTTAGGAGTCTTTTGTGTTCTCTTCAGTTCTAAGGCGTTTATCTGTCGCCCTCTGCCGTCGCTCCCCATCGTCGTCCGCCGATGCTTATCATCGTTGACTGCTATCCGCCGCCACACTCTGACCACTGTTCGCCGCCGTTTTTCTCAGGGAAGTTCGTCTTGTCAATGTGATTCCAATTTCAAGCTTAGTTTTGCGAGAAAATCCTTCAATCGGCGCAGATATATCGTTGAAGGTCGCAACTCTTCATCTTCCCTGTCGTGATTTTTTGGGTTTCCGCCATTTTACGACCATAACCCAGGATACATATGCTGTGAATAAACTGGTAAAGCCATCGTTGCATTTTTCTTGAAGTTTTTCGGCGTCCCTCGTTAAAGCTCCAGGTGATTTCTGCTCTGCATGTTCGGCAACTCCTAAAGTTGGAGTCTGAACCTGTTTTCTGGTCTGAATTTTGAATTGATTTGTGAAATATGGCGTTCGTTTCAACGGGGTTTGGTCTGGAACCAAAAACAGTTACGGGAGGAATGACAATAGTGTCTGGAGGAAGGACAACAGTTCGCGGGGAAGGAGAATTATATATCATCTAAAATGGGGAGTAGGGTTGGATGTTTTACGCTCTTTGTTGAAAATATTCCTGAGAATCTTCACTGGAAAAAGCTTGGCTCTCTTTTTTACAATCATGGAAAGTGATTGATGCTTTCATCCCTTTTAAAAAAATTTTGTAAGGGGGTTCGTTTTGACTATATCAGATACATTAGAAGAAGCCAAGAAAAAAACTTTTAGGATGGATGGCTATTTTATTTTTGGATGCAAGATTGGTGTTTCGATGGCAAAATATAAACTCATGCAATCCTTATGGAGAAGAACTACTCCATCCTTTCATCGAAAGGATAAGGAAGTGGCTGACAAGAGGAGTGTCATATCCTCGATAGAAGGAGTGGATGATGAAGAAAAACTACGAGTGCTGGAAAATTGCGTTGTGTGTTGGTGTAGAAACTTTTCTTTCATTCGGAACCTTGCTAGACAAATGCATGAAAAATGCCTTAATGGTTTTTCGCAGCGCAGAGCTACTGGAAATGTTATCTTATTGTGTTTTGAAAACTCGATGTTAATGAACATAACAAAGGTCGAGAATTCAGAGTCTCTGGCAGTATGGTTCGACAGGTTTGAATCATGGTTAAAAAACTTGATGGCGGAGAGTCAGCATATTTGGTTGGTTTGCGGAGAGATTCATTTTCATGCTTGGAGCTGAGATACCTTTACAAACATAGCAGCAAAGTGAGGGGAAATTATTTCTATGGACGAAAATTCCCAACATCCTTCGTCATTTGATCGGGCAAAAATCAAAATTTTCTCAAATACCCTCTACCTCTAGAATTGACGAGGTAGTAGGATTGAAGGTTGAAAGCCAACCATTTAAAGTCTTGGTTCGCGAGATCGATCCGAGTTTCAAGCCTATTCCTTGGGTTCCCGAGGAAGATGAAAAAGACATTGTTGGCTCTAACAATGACAAATCCGAGAATTCCAAGTCCAGCATGGCTGCATTGGCCCACTCTAATTCTCAAATTAAAGCTCCTCCTCCTGGTCGAAGTCCCCCTGAGTACACCAGGTTCCTTTCCAGTTGGATCGCTGGAAAATTTGTCAAATCAACTTGGGAAGGAAGGAAGTACCTGGCGGTGGAACCACCGGTGGTGAGATTGGTTTAGCTTCAAGACCATGTTCAGTTTCAGAGTTTTCCTTACCTAGTGCCCTCGATCGATCAGATCAAAACGTTGTGTAGTCTCGTGCCCCAGAAGACGGTCTCAGTACGAGTTTATTGATTTCTAATGGGGTAATAGGTGATTCAATCCGGTTGCAGGGAGAGGATCTTGGGAAGGGCCCAAAGCTCGGGAAGAAAAAGTGACCTCGCAATTCACGAATCTAAAAAGAGCAAGCAATTGGGCTTTGGTCTGTTAGCGGTTTTTGAAGGAGTTTTAATTGATTGGATTGTGTTCCTTCACCAAATATGTAGATGGTTCGCCTCTTGGAGTCGGTTGTGTTTTTTTCACATTAATTGATTTGGCTGTTGCTTTCGGTTATTTTGGTTTTTAGTGATTTGAAGCTCGGGGTAGGTGTGAGTTGGTATCGGATAGGGTTGTCATTGTTTTATTTGGCTATTTGAGGGGGTTTTCTTAGAGGTTTTCTGGTTTTTCTTGATTTAGTGTCTGTGTCTATATTGGTGCGTTATTTCCTTTAAGGTGTACTGGTTTGATTATTTAATAAATCAAGAAGTACTTTTTTCCTCCTTCCAATTTTCGTTGACATACAATTTAATATGTTGATAATTATGAAGGGGATTTGAAAGAGGCCTCCAATTCTTATATATATATATAAAGACTCAAACTTAAAGCACATCTACAGGAGAAGAATACAGTAGCTACCGGAGATTCCTACACAAAAAATAGGAGTGCAATACCTGCTGGAATCAGAGTTGTCATAGCAGATCCTAATGAATTAACAAATTTTGGAGGCTCTGGTTGGTTACTAGCAGATGCTACAGCTCCTCCACCCGGCTGCAAATTGACATGGGAGGTTACAGAAATATGGCACGGAAGGCTTCACGATAGTGCCATGGTACAGTGATTGTTGCCGACAAATGCATCAGAAGGTCGTGGTACAGATGTCTGAGCTCGAGTCCTAAGAGTCGTTTTACTCTAAGCTGCAGAATATCCATTTCCAGCCATTACCATAATAGCCTGTGCCTGAATACAGAAGCAAAGAACCAAGTACCGCCTAAAGTTTATGGTGTCAAGCATATAAACCACACAGGCTGAAGCAACATGCTACCTTCTCGGGAGACACATCATCATACACGCATACAGAAACGGCATAAAAGACAGTCAACTGAGATGGTGTCCCAAAAGATTTGGTACCATTCCTACAAAAGAATTCAGCTTTACCTTTATCATTCCAACTAGCCATTTGGCTGATACTTTTATCATTTATAAAATCAAGGTTCACAAAAAGTGACATGTAGCAAAATGATAGTAGTTTAGATACCTTAGATCGGTGGTACCAATAACAGAACTTGATGGAGGAACAACAGATACAGGGGGAGCCATGATCGGGACTCCGGCAAAAGGTTGTGGGTTTCCCGTGTTACAAACTATGTTCTGTCCAGTGGAAATTAGATGGGACTGGAGAAGAGGAGTGCTCATATAAACTGCAATTCTTTGATTTGGCTGGCTGGAGACTGGAAATATCCTCAAATCTTGGGAACTGTGGAGTTGGTGTCCATCAAATTGTTGCAGGCCATAAAGTGGAAACGTGTAGTTGTTTCCCCCTTGTTTCTGTAAGTCATAGGAGGAGAAAAAACTCAGTAAACCTGTATTACAAGACATAGGCCTGATAAAATCTCAAACATCCTCTTAAAATCAAATCGAAATTCTCGAACATGAAAAAAAAATAGAAACTAAGAAGTTCATGATGGCAAGTAACAAACCTTGGTGAAGCCAGAAAACGGTTTCTGGTTATAATCTGCAGGCGGTATTGCCATAAAGCCAGATGACATTATAGGATCATGAGCAGCCTTCCTTGGACCATCTTCTTGAGCTGCATCCTTGAAAGGCAGGAACTGAGGAACACCAGACACCTTGTTTGAGAAAGACAACTGCATACTTGAACCCCTTAATAATATTGCATAGCCAAAAGAAATGGAATATCATATCATGCCTGATTAGTTGCATAAATATATCTGAATTAAGTTGAGAATCACTCAACTAAAAGGGAAGCAAGAAAAGAAAACATAGACACCATGTATATAATTAGCTAGATACCTCCAAACTTAAAAAAAGATGCGAATGGTTGGTCCAGACAAAAATATTTAAACCATACTGGAAAATATGATGTACATCTTCTTTATTTGTAATAATAATATAGAACGAGCTCAGAAAATATTAGAAAAGAAATGAGGTCCTGACAACTATTAGAAGTGGGAAGAAAGCATTTATTGATATTTAAAAATGGAAGTACATCATAGATACAAGATAGCCATAAACCAACATACGTCTTACCATTAAGCATACAATTCATGTTGATTGTTTGAATTATTTCTTATATAAAATACAAAAAAAAAGCCATACTTTTAGAATATATATTATCATCATATTATAATATGTTTGGCACGCGCCCTGTGATAAGTAACCATTAACTTTAGAATATATTATCATCATATTATAAACAAATGCTTCGTTTTGGGTATCCACATGAAAAACGTACAAAGCACATGTTATTTGGCACTACCTTTCAAAATGAAACATTTAAAAATAAGCTTGTATTAGCCACACTAATTATTTTTTGTAAAATATTCACATCTGACCCTACACAATAGATAAGCTAGAAAAGTATTATCCTTCCAAATGAAAATAATAATAAATAAAAGCTAAATAACCCCATGTTAGGGATATAGGGATGGGCATGGGTCAGGTTTGATCGGATTTTTGGTCCACCTGATCCGACCCGACCCGAGAACAATAATTCCTCCACCCGAGATCCGATCCGACCCGCATGAAACATGATTTCACCCGACCCGATATATAATTTAAAAATTCGACCTGACCCGAAATAATAAAAATATTATTTTTATTCAATAAAAACAATTACTTAATTGAAAAAAATATATAGAGGGGTATTATTGTAATTATTCCTAAATATATAAAGTAAAATTATAATTTTTTTCGGGTCTAGTCGGATCGGGCATTTTCACCCTAAATCCAAACCCGACCCGATCCCGGATTATTTTTGAAAAACTCGACCCGATCGGATCGGATTCGGGTCCCATGCCCATCCCCACACGTATTTATATTAGGGTAACATAAATAATTATCTAAGTCATTGATCAGAGGATTATTTATTCACATTGTACTCGCCCATGCTATTTTATCAACAGGCAACCACAATAAACGTTATATTTAAACTTAAAATAACTATAATAGAAGTTAAAAGAAGAAAATTTATCTAAGAAAAAGAAATCACGACAACTCAACATGGCACATTTAACGTATTGTACTACTAAATTTTAATGTATTAGCCAAGCAACTAAACAAATATTAATTAATCAGGCATTAAATCTAACATCCTAATAATCGGCCATTCTTAACCGTTCATGTTATTATCAACCTTATTATATATCCTAGTGCTGATGTAAAGTGATTTTTGATATAAAAATAATTTGTAAAATTAATTTTGGACATAATCGAATTTGTCAAAAATTTATCAAAAATAATTCAAAGTCCAAATTAACTTGAAACATATGTTTTAAATGTTTTCCAACTTAGTCGAACCTTTTCAAAAACTTAAACGATTGTTTTTGCATTTAAAGTCAAGTTTCCAAGCATTTTTGGCTCAAAAGGATTGATCCCTTTGACCAAAGGATCGATCCTTTGGATTTCAATAACTTTTGGATCGATCCCTTCTCCTAAAGGATCGATCCATTACTTGCAACAGTCGAATTATTTGAAAAAGATTAATCCCTTTCAACAAAGGATCGATCCCTTGTGCATAAATTGCTAATTTTGGTTGTAGATAACGATTATAATGATCCCAACAGCTCCAAACGACTAGAATTGATGGAGAAGCTACAAATTGAAGGTCAAAGCATCCCAATGTCAACAAGAATCATACTGAACCAACCTATCAACATCAAAGTATTCTTTTGTGCTTAAATTGTTAAATTTTTTGTTGTTAAAATACTTTTGAGCTACATTGTTTATTTTGCTCGAGTGTGTATTGGGTGAGTGCTTAATTTGGTGCAAACTACTTTGCCTTGTGAGGTTTTCTTTTGTTTACTAAATTTGTATTTACTCTTTGGGAGAGTGTATATTCAAGATTTTAGGTATAAACCTTGAAGTGTTTGTAAGGTTACACCTTGTTCTTAAAGGTAAGCAAATCTAGTGGATTTGATAAATCCTTAGCATGGATGTCAAGGTAGTGGATGTAGACTTGGTTTTGAAGTCGAACCACTTTAAATCGTTGTGCAAAAAGTTCTATGTTTTTGTTGTTTCTACAAAGTTTTTAAAAAAGGCCAATTCACCCCCTCTTGGCATATTTCGGTTGTTCGTAAGAGCTAACAAATTCTAACGTAATATTCATGGAAACACCATTAGATCGAGTGTGAATTACTCACATTGCAAGTGAAAATTTGTTGTAGAAAAACTTCTCTCTCCAATATTGCTAGTAAAATTCACAACAACAAATTTATTCAAAATTTCTACTAACTTAAACAATAGTTTTGATACAACTTGCTAGAAATTAATAAACAACAAAAAATAATCAATGTAATTCAACATGAAATATATTACATACAAGAAATGAGATTCGTCGTGTTTTAGTCTTATCTACCTATATTGATGGGAGAAATATATAATTCATTAAAAATATATAGATCACAAAGAGTATAAATACATGTAATTTTTTGGATCCATTACTATGATATATAACCCAAAATCTATTGTATCTAAAAATATTCTTCTAACATCTTTATAAAATCGTATTTATAAAATCATCTATGTAACATAAACCCTAAAAGTTGTAGAGATCATAAAAAAGATGATATCTCTCCAAATAATTGTCTCTCATAATTCTAATGGTCAAGACACACTTTATATACAAAACAAACTTTTGCACTAATAGTTGCTCATTTCACTATGTATTAGTTCTAGATGCGTTCATTAGTACTTAAGCCGCTAATTTTGTTATTTTTTCTCATTTTCTAAAATATATTTCTTTGTATTTATGGAGATTGTTGGATAATACAAATAAAAGAAGTTATATAATATTTTAAATAAACTTTTATTTATTTTAAGTAGATTTTGAGGATAATTGAGATTTTATGATAATCATTTTTTCTTATTTATTGATTTACTTTTATCTAGTGAACCAAACTTTGATTTTGATTTTGATATAAAAGAATTTTGATAATCATTTTTTTTATCTTATTTAAGTTGTTAAAATTTGCATTTTACTATTCTATAAATAATTTGTCAAAAACTATTTTAAGTGTTTTTAATAGTGAAAAATAATCATAAGTGCTCTTGAGTAATTTGATATTTTACAAATATTGTTTTCAAAATAATCAATGTAATTCAACATGAAATATATTACATACAAGAAATGAGATTCGTCGTGTTTTAGTCTTATCTACCTATATTGATGGGAGAAATATATAATTCATTAAAAATATATAGATCACAAAGAGTATAAATACATGTAATTTTTTGGATCCATTACTATGATATATAACCCAAAATCTATTGTATCTAAAAATATTCTTCTAACATCTTTATAAAATCGTATTTATAAAATCATCTATGTAACATAAACCCTAAAAGTTGTAGAGATCATAAAAAAGATGATATCTCTCCAAATAATTGTCTCTCATAATTCTAATGGTCAAGACACACTTTATATACAAAACAAACTTTTGCACTAATAGTTGCTCATTTCACTATGTATTAGTTCTAGATGCGTTCATTAGTACTTAAGCCGCTAATTTTGTTATTTTTTCTCATTTTCTAAAATATATTTCTTTGTATTTATGGAGATTGTTGGATAATACAAATAAAAGAAGTTATATAATATTTTAAATAAACTTTTATTTATTTTAAGTAGATTTTGAGGATAATTGAGATTTTATGATAATCATTTTTTCTTATTTATTGATTTACTTTTATCTAGTGAACCAAACTTTGATTTTGATTTTGATATAAAAGAATTTTGATAATCATTTTTTTTATCTTATTTAAGTTGTTAAAATTTGCATTTTACTATTCTATAAATAATTTGTCAAAAACTATTTTAAGTGTTTTTAATAGTGAAAAATAATCATAAGTGCTCTTGAGTAATTTGATATTTTACAAATATTGTTTTCAAGCTCAAAACACTTGATTTTAGCCAAAAACAAAAACCCCTTTTAGTCTCTAGACCAACATATTAGTCTTGATATCAAAATTCCAGTTGACTTTTTGGTATCGATACCTTGGTGTTGGTAATGATGGTGGTAGATGAGTATCGATACTCATATAAATAGCATATGTAACACCCTTAACCCGGAAACGTGTACTATTACGAGTTAAAGATGTCACATCAATTATTCAAAACATTTCTTAACCCAAAAGGGGTAAAATTTGCTTCTTTAAGAAATTTTCAATTCTTATAAAATCAAAATATAATAATATTCTAATTTCCATTTCAAATCTGGTTTCAGGTATCGACTAGACAATTCTATTCTTTTTCATATCATAAATAAAATTGTCTAAAAATTATCTGATTTATAATCTAATTAATTAATATTTAATACTAACTATATTAATAATTTGCAGACATTTCTTACTTGTATACATGACAATTAGAACATTTAGAACACAATAGGATTTCATTATTGTTACCTGTAAATATTCCTTGGTGATTGATGCCAAGCTCAGCTCCTTACTCATCTCGTTATCTTTTACCTACGCGTGAAAATCATCACACGCTAAGTATACACTTAGTGTGGTAATCAATAGAAATATCCAAGGCAATGCAACACATAAACATAAATAAATAATATTACTCAATGCATTACGATCACTTTACATGTATTTCAACCATGTTTCCATATATTAACATGATATATAAATCACATATAAAATTCTTACCAATATACTTGCCATTTATTCCATAAGCTCATAAGCTTATTAACCTGTATATCAATTATTAACCAA